TGGCAGTACAGATATTGGTTTGAAGTCACTGAGATTAGATTTGTCGCCTGCCTTGAAAAGTGGGATTATTTTACCATATTTCATTAAACCAGGAAAAGTTTCTTCATCAATGCTCTTCTCTCTTCTTCATCAATCTTCTTATTAAAAATAAAAGTTAATTGAGGCGCTATAGCGCTATAGGTGGCACTATACCATCTATAGATGGTATTTTAGATTTGATAACATAAATTTAAAAGCCCCTAATTTATTTAAATTACATAATTATTTATCCCTAATTACTTTAAATATATATCTACTCCATCTTACAAGCCCATTCTTTGTATAATATATATTTTTTATCATCATGGGCTCCTTAAAAGAGGTTGCTACGTAACAATAAGGTCGCTCTTTGTTAGCTTCTCTGGTATTATATCCTGTATAGCATACAATAATGAATATATTATTAATAGTATAAGGTTTTGAGAGAAGTTTGTGGCGCTATACAGATTTGTTAGTTTTATATTATAAATCATCTTTCAAAAAAGACTCCGCGAACACATTAGCTATCACATGTGATGTAGTTTTAGCATTAAGTCTGTAAATATCTTTCAAATGTCTAAATTAAGGAGATTAGGATAGATTTTTAAAATCAATTAGCCCCCGGATTAATCGTAATGAACACTAAGCCCACGAGTGTTTCATCGTGATTTGTTTAAACATTACTATCAACATAATAACATTATAATGATGAATGATGTTGATATTATTAAATTAAGTATGTAATGTAATGATAATAGTAATGTAATTAATGTTGTTACAGAGGTACCGATAATATTAATTCCTAATCCTTGTACCTACAATTTGATAAATGTGATAAAAATCGTAACGTTTATCTATGTAATCGGTCGGTATTAATTTCAGTGAAGTTTCACGCTGGACTGTCTTTAAAATAGACTTATATTATTATCACTACATAAAAATTGAGCAATTATGATATTAATTACCAACTCAAATTAGCATTTTTCATAATGACTATTAATAATATAGCTACAGCATATTATATTAGCATATTAATATAGTACAGCAGCAATAACTTTTTGAGTTGCATCATCAATAAAAAATTCTTAAGCTTCCGCCATATCTTTCGTTTGTGATTTTAGAGCTTAAAGCAATTTTTGCAAATTCAATTTATCGTGATTTTCGCCAAAAATTTATCACGAAATCCTGTATGCTACATAAGACACTTTAAGCTGTTAGTTTGCTATTGTATTTTCGGTCATTAAAACGCACCAGCCCATATTAGAGTTGCATGAGTAGTTATAGCTCTTTTCTTCCTACGTAATTCTATCTATGGCACGAACAATAGAGGTATTAACAGGTTAATGATGTCAATGGCACCTTAATAAGAATGAAGATGGTGTAAAATCCAATTCAATATTTTATCTCGTAAACTAAGTTTTTAATTATAATTACACTGTAATTTATTCAAATAAGCTTATTGAAATCACTTTTAAACTTATCTTGACGAGCAATATCTAATTAAAATGGAACCTACTCAGGCCCTGGACTCTTAAAATAGATATTCGATATATCGCGGTCTATGAATTTCGTCGTCTATTCAGAATGTAACGAAAAGTAGAGCACAATAAGACTGGTTTTAAGAGCACAACCTCGGAACGTCTTTTGGTTGACAAGAAGAAAGAACGCAAATAACTCACCGGATTTTAACAGTAGCATGTCCTTAACAAATCAATGTGTTGATATCAGAACAATAAAAATTTTAAATTAATCATTCTTTCGAGAAAGATAAAAATAGTTTAGGATACAAAGATAACAGTAATGCCATTTAATCGTACACGGGACAATGCAATCTCGTGTCCGGTACGATAAGTGAATGATGCTTCCTCTCTATTTTATAACATGTGCCCGTTAGCAAGACTGAATTTTATTAGCGATTAAAACAATTGAAAATGTAGAGTAACTGGATTGCTACTATGTTCATTGCTTTTATTTTTTGTCGAGTCCCCGATATTTTGCGTCAACAGTGCACGAACATGGTGACAATTGCATAAATAATTATAACTTTAACATTAATAAAAAAAATATAAAAAATAAAAATGTATTTATTGGAACAAATAATTTAACAAAAGTATAGTGTACGATAATAGTTGCGGTAGTTAAAAAAAATTCTGAAGTGCAACTATTAACGCTAATAGTTGACACTAACGTTTCAAGAAGTTTATTTCATGATTTTGTTCAGATTTTAAGGTTTTAAAAACGCTATACTAAAGCTAAATATACGTAAAACTAAAATAATACAGCACAACAGAGACCAATCCCGGAGTTAAAACCAGGTTCTAGATGCCAGGACTCTAGAACTGACAGGCAGTTCAAATCGACTTCGTTTCATTTAAAATATTACAATGTTTAGTTCAAACAAAAATACTTTGTAATCTCAACCAGTTCCGCTGTGCAAACGCACACAACCCACGCAGAGAGATGAAAATAAACTTGTAACTTCATTTTGATAGAGTCACACAAACAAATAACAAGTGTATGTTAATAATAAATAAACTATATTTAGTTTACTATAAATATGAAGTGCTTTATACTAAGTTTGACGGTTTTCCTACATATATATGAAACGACAGCTTTACTTTCAAATGGAACTAATTTTGTGTACACATACGCTAGTGAGTAATTCAAATATATATATTTTTCTTTTTAAGCAGAACATACGTGAATGTATAAATGAACTCAATAAAGAAGAAGACCTAGTACAGCCTTAGTCAACTTGCGGCAACTGTGTATTTATATTAGTAAATTAGGTATTACATCACTATATTTGAACTAGCTTTTGTCCGCGGTTTATTTTTAGCCAACTTCGAAGAATAAGGATAGGTTTTCAAGATTGATTTCTTATATTTATATTGCACTTTTTTGTTTGAACGAGTATATTCTCGTAATAGTCTCACTAAAACTTTAACGAAGTTAAATTAATAGTTTTGTTTTAATATAAAAGAAACTGGGAGAACTAAATCGCCCAAATTAATTAGGTGTGATGGTTGTCACGTAGGAATTCTATAACAAAAACATTTATTTTTATAAATAAACAGAACTTAAAATCGTAAAATAATTCTTATTATCACAAATTCAAAGTTCGTTTGAAGTCAGACATGTAAAAACTTAGTCAAGAATCGCCCGAATAAAAATTGAATATATTGAATTTATTAATAATTTTGAAGTCATTTTCTCTCCAAGTTTACATTCTTTTTAAATTGATATAAAAATTATTGGTTTTAAAGAAAAGTAAAAGCATTTAAGTAAATAAATATCTCCATACAAATTTCTACTCGTCCTTTCATTCCTTTCATTGGATTCCTATGAAATCTATTCGATATTCTTAATGAAAAATGCCTTAAAAATCTAATTTGTCCCTGGCACTCTGAGATGGGACTTGAACCCATGACCTTTCGCAATCCGGGCGACTGCTCTAACCACTGAGCTACCCAGGACCTAACAGGACTGACGAATTTTTCAAGCACTTGTAACTTTTTCGCTACTATAGCGTGTACTTTCATCAGTGTTTCTGGAAATTAATTAATCCCAGGAATAAACCTTCACTTTGGTATCAAGCTTATGAGGCTGGTTTACCGTGAGTTGTGATATTTTTGTAACTTTACCTATTTTATCAAAGAAGTGGCACTTTTCTTCTCTAATTATCCTTACTAGTAATATCAATGTGAAAGTAACTAAGTCTTAAACTATTAAGATAACATTTAGTATAAAAAGTATGACACACTAAACAAGATAAAGAATAGATTTTAAATAACAATACGAAAAATGAAGATTTAAACTTCCTTGAGGAAGAGCACTAGACAAAAATATGGAAAATAGTATACTGCATCCTCGATATTAGTTACCTTATCGATGTAATTATAATAGTATGATATAGCAAAGATATTTTTGCAACAAGGTTCGTCCGTCGCTTCGTCGGCCTGTCTGTCTTTCATCAGGAACCGATATAATGAGACAGTTTAATTTTTTACAGACGATGTATTTCTGTTACCTCTATAATAACATACAACAAACGTGAATGTTTGCTCGTTTTCGATATAGAACCCTTAATACACAAGTGCGACTCGCACTTGACTGATTTTTGACAATGCCGTTTCTAAGGAATGATGTATGCACACAGCTCATGTTTATTTCTATTGCTTTTTTGGGCCAGAATATACTGCTGTAAGTTATCTTCCTGGTTTTATTATAACTTTCATTGCGTTTCTAAATGATTCTCTATAGTATTATAATAATAGTTTTACTTTTCATTGGATTATTTTTGCTTACAGCCAGGTTTTAAAGAAATCACCGTGTCGAATGAAGTGTCCATACATTCTCCTTAATCTGTTTTCTATGGTTTCCAGCAGAGTATCGCTTGACAAATTGGCATCGTTTTAATTGATATTGTGGTTAATGAAAATGCACTCAATTCACATGAAATAGTATTGAAAGAATCAGTAGGGTTTGTTTTTCTTCTCACAAAGGCATATTAGTAAAATCCAAACTACTTATTCAATTTACTTGGTGTAAAAAACAATTTTTATTCACATTAAATTTCTTTGACAATGTGCATAATTGTTTCGATAAGAATTTAATATCACCTTTTTTTATTCTACTGAAAAAATCTTAGCACATTAGCACTTTTTTATGGATAATTTAATGCTCTCCATCTTTTCTTTAGAAAGCATTCGTATATCTCTTAGCGTTTGCCAGCTTTCACAAAAATAGACGCCCTTGGAACTATTTCTATTACTAGGGAAACTTTGAGTGGGATAAATAGCAGCCTACATGATAATTCTAAGAATTGCCTGGGTACAAAATTTCATTAAAATCCGCGTAGAAGTTTTTGCGTAAAGAAGTAAGAACATACCAACACCCAAACCTACAAACTTTCGCCTTTCTAATATTAGAAGGATCATACCAACATGACAACATCAACTTTTCCGGCTCTTCAAGCATTCATGAATGATTGTAGTCGTGGAATACCTCTTTTGTAAATTGCACGAACAGTTCGTATATTGGACGGTATTACCGTATTCATAATCATCCTTTTTTTTCCAGTGGCGATGCAATGCAAGGAGCATCTATGTCAAAAAGGTTATAACTACGACCAGTTCTATCAAGTAGACGCGGACGATGCTAAGTATACGAAATCCAAGAATAATTTATTATTAGAGATGCATATAGCGATACAAGCGGTGAACAATGGGCATATACTATTGTCAACTGTTCCATTTCCGACAATGAATGATTCAGTATACGAAATCGGTAGGTACAAAAAAAATATACAAAATTTATAAAATTTTATAAACTTTCTATCTTTATCAAGTACCACATGGAATTATTACAAAATATACGTTATCTATCGATCTTAAGAGAGATAAGGAATCAACTGTCCATAATAACATTTGTCATTATTATTAAATACAATAAAATACATTTGCAAGTCAATATAAGTTACGTATAACTACATGTAGTTATGTAGTGTATCGGTCCTTCATGCAAAGTTGCTTACAAAATAAAAGACTATTTTGTGAAAGAGAAGATATGGAAATGCCACTCAGTTTCAATCTTAATTAAGTGCGAATATTAAAACCATTATACATACAAGCTTACATTTAACTTCATGTAGGTATACGTATGTTGGTCAAAGTTTGAAATTTAATTTTAAAGCAGTCATCTTGTACCAGTTAGGCTGAAAGTTTATGTACACCTTAAGTTTAGATAACAATGGACGGGAAGCTGTGTTGGATCATTTAATTGTAATGTGGCGGACGGCTGAAGATAGCGGCCCTATTATTTTTTTGTGTACCTACTGTCATTATTAGTCAAATTATGGGTTATTTTATTTTGAGAACATTAAAATAGCCATATGTACACACTAATGAGTATGTAAAGCTCTTCGTTATTATCTTTTTTTTTAACAAAAGAAATAAAATCTTATTATATAACGCAGTTGTCGGAGGAGGCAGTAATAGATTCACTGAGCTGCGACGCAACTTGAAACGTAACGCAAAGGCATCCAAGGGGACAGTCGGAATATTATCTGCTGTAGAATTACGTGGGTTCGTTATTAGAATCTCTAAAGGTAAGCTTTAGGTACAAAAAATATTAAATTTATAAATATTAAATAAAACATTTACTGAAAACAATATTTACCTACAATTTGCAAAGACGTAGGAGTTCATCTGATAGTTTAGCCTGAAGGTAGCCATGGAACATCTGCAATAAAAGGAACCATCTCCGTCGTTGTATTTCAGCTTGTTTCATTTATCTTGACAAGCACTTTAGTCCTAGATAATATCTAGGATTTGATAAACTTTGTAATTAAATAATTCAACCCTGTCGAGTTCGGGCTCGTTTCATTTGTCTTTACAACATCTCTAGTCCGACAAAAGCTATTTTTTACAAAGAACATTTTAAAATCGAAATTATTTACTCTTTTTCATTAGGTGGCTTGGTAGAGTTCAGCGAAGAAGGCGCCACGCTACCTATTCTAAGTTACGTCGATATTGATCCACTGGACATAAAGTATTTCAGTTTTGCAGCTTGGGTTAACATCGAAGCCAAATTCTTGTATGATTGCCCAGCACCAGGAGACAGTAAGTAAAATGAGATCTATCAATACTTGTAACCTATATCAGGTAATTATTTTATTTATAATAATATTAAATAAATTAAAGAGTATGTAGCATATTTATTGGTAAACGAATGGAATGCTTTTTATTTTAATTTATTACAATTAAATGGAAAGCTAAGTTAGTTGAAAATGAGAGTTTCAATACAAAAAGAAATCGTCTAATGACGTCATTTTTAATTGGATTTCTTTGAATGAAATAAAATAGCCTTTGCTGATTCTTCTCAGTGCAAGGTTGCCGAAACTTAACAAACCGATGTGTTTAGTGTTTGTAGACTGTCACAAATGGGTTATTGCTGTCTAGGCTGAATACATCGTATAAACAAAAGTGAAGTTGATTTGATTCTGACATTAAAAACTAAATTGTAATAATTAGAGTGAGTGTCGTTGTGAAGAACCGGTTTAATATAACGTTTCTTAAATACGTTTGTAAATTAAAGCTTTAAAGCGAATAAAAATACAGGAATGAAAAATTTCAAAACAAAATTTGCTTTATATCATGGCATGATATCGTTGATTTTTGTGAATTCCAATTTACCTTGCATTTTCTTTGCAGTGGCAAATCAAACCTTGCCTGACTCGAAGGCAATTCAGAGGAAACTATCCAATTCTGATCGTCTGAAGCAGGAGATGCTGCAAGACAGACCACCACACATGCCACCAAGTCCAAGTGTGAACGTTAATCTAAGTGTACTCATAACGGGAATCAAATATGACGCCTTGGAGTCTAAGCTGACCACAAGGATGATTTTACTTACCGTAATTATCTAAATGCACATTAGGAAAGAAAGAAGATGATCGTTTATACAAATGTTTTACAAGTCTACGAATGAAAGTGACAATTGTATTGGTCACTCAGCGGATCCCGAGCTTTTCATGCCTGGGAAAGCATATTAAGTCGTCGATATTGGTTGCATCTGCAACCGTTGCACTGTTGTAACACTCAGGGTGTGGTAGTTAGAACATCTGGTGGAATCTATCTTTTTCTTGCCAGTGCCTTTAAAGTTTAAGAGAATTGCTACACCAAAACTGTTTTGTTAATGTAATTTTGGTTCAAGTAATGACGTCCTCGTCAAATGTATATGAAAATAAAAAACACATCACATTTTAAGGGTTTTGTAATGGAGAAAATGTGAATTAATAAAATTTTCTCTCGGATTTTAATAAATAAAAATGTTCTAATTAACATTACTTTGTTTTCTATATTACTTTGCAGTTGTGGAATGATGAGAGCCTTTCGTGGAACCCACAAAAGTTCAACAATATAACCAGTGTTACATATCGGCAAGGTCAGATTTGGCGACCAATATTCCAAGTTTTCAAGTAAGTATACTTTAGGTTTAATAAATAAAATTGAATTGAATGAATGAAAGACTTTATTGTACACACTATAAGTAAATGAACAAAACATAATAATGTAATAGACGGTACAATAGGCGGCCTTATTGCTAAAAAGCACTTTTAGGGCTTCATCATCATCGGCATATTAATATCCCCACTACAAGGGCCTGAACTAAAATATGGAGGACTATAACTTACCTTACAGGGCCCCGTGCAGGTTGCTGGGTGTTAACGACAGCTGATGCAGCCAGGACCACAGACTTAACGTGCCTTTTAATGCAAGGGGAACTCAAGATAATAAATTTTTGATCACCTATATTAAGATTGACTCTTGCTAAAGTTGCTTAACCTACATATCATATATATCATATATAGGGCTAATCACTAAGTTGGAGAGCTCCTCTCAACTCAACAAAAAATATATCTATTTTAACGCTATTTTGTAGTCACACCTAAATAACCACGATATCTAACATTATAAACTACAACATCTGTTTCCTGAGTTTTAACACAACTCAATACTTTTAGAAAAAAAAATTGTCCATGTCTTTGTAATGCTGATGTGACGTACTATATGTCTATGTTTTATTCATATTTGATGATAATGTTTGCATATGGTTTTTAACGTTGAAGATGTAATAAATTTTTTTTTTTCGTATGTAAGTAAAAGTAACAAATATGAAAACGTTTATGTTGGTGGTAGTACAAAATTACCTGTGCCAGCCCGTGTAGCAAGGCTCGCGTAGTATATCCTGCTTGACGTAACCCGTGTAGCATATTCCACCTAGTGTAGCTTGCGTAGTATGACAAGCTTGGTAGACTCGAAAAATAGGTGAGAGTGAGACCAAGAGTAAATATTGTATGAATATATTTCACTCTCGATCTATGAAAAAAATGAAAATGAAAATATCTTTATTCAAGTAAGCTTATTATGATCAAAAATTTTTTTTCCTCTGCCATTGTTCAGGACGTCTTTTAGCTGACTTCTTGTCAGCTAAAAGACGTCCTGAACAAGTGGCAGAAACTTACCAGCTCTTTATCATAAGTAATGACATTTACAAAATCATGTCTTTACCAAAATAATATGTATTATCACAATAATAAACACAACTTTCAAAGTCTGTAGGTCATAGTTTGTTCATATAATTAGTCGTCATAGAACAAAGCGAAGGCTCCATGCATTAACTCCATGCATAGCCTTTACTCATAAGTGTGTTCTTTACATGAATTTTAAACTTATTTATGGGTAGGTGAATTACATTTTGTGGAACTTTATTAAACATAGCAATGCCTTTACCCAGAAACGACCCTCTGGTTTTCTGAAGTCTTAAGCTTGGAACGGCTATTTCTAGACTGTCTTAAGTTCATCATACCATGTTTTGATGTTTTTATCGGAAAGTGGTTTTCAGTTCAAACAGCCTCAGCCTAGAGACAACCGGTCAAGAAGTAATCAGTATGCTTTATAAAGGTGAAGCTTCTTTCCACTTTAAAGCTACAGTGGAAACTTGGTGCTTTAGCGAGTCATCGGAATTCAACAGGTCTGTGAATAATATTATTGTATTTATTTTTATCTACCGATGTTTTGTAGTAACAAGCCAATCCATAAGATCATCTATAACTAATTATGTATATTTTTTTGTTTATCAACTGAACTTTAATTTACCTACGTGTTTTAATAGTATTGGCAGATCTTGACTGGTAGTCAGAGTATTGATTTTTTTAAGATAGATATTGATCTATAATCTTACAGATGGCCACGCGATAAATATACTTGTTCCATTGTTATACAACCGTCGGAAGCACACGAGAAAATTATGCTATCAGACATACACGACAGCGCTCCTATATTAGAGAAAGTAAGTATTATTACCGGAAGAATAATTATTTAATTTTTAAATACACTTCTTTTCACATAAAAGAACATTTAAAAAAACAGAGACATAATACAGTGCATTATATAGTTCGCAGACTACGATGGGATAACGGAGAACGAATGGCAGATCTTGAATGGTAGTCAGAGTATAGTATCTTCAGAAATATGGAACATATTGTACCCCACGCAGAACAACGAGACGCACATGAGCGATCGCCTCGTTATACAACTCGTGATACAGAGGCATGCAGCCAGTTACAACATGGTATTTTATATGCCTCTTATAGGTAAGCTGATAATAATACTTGTAAATACATATTTTATTACATTCCATAATGTTTAAAGGGGAACTTATTATAGATCCTATTAACATTTTTATCAGAAGTGTTTTCCCTAATTAGGTTCTCATTTTGGGACTAATAATATTACAATCTGTAATATAGAGGTCATAGGATACTAACGCCCTCACGAATAAGCAATGTATGAGCAATTTATGAATTTATGAGCGTGTTCTTGTTTTTTTTACTCGAACTAAAATTCACATTTCAAACTCCCCCGTTTACCATCTCAAACTCTTCCGTGATGTCAATGACAACTTTATTGCTAGATTGGAGTCGTCTCATTTAGGTATGCTATATACCCTAAGTAGCTATAAATATGTTTTGGCAATGTCCGTTAGCCAAGCAGCTCGCACGCCAGTTTTAAGGTGTCGCTATCTCTGGTCTCGGTTTCGAAACAGGTCAATGTAGAAATGTAGACAAATGGATTTTTAAATGTTGCCTCGGGTTGTGGTGTCAACGTTGTTTCAGATTTTGAATGAGAGTCTAATATAATTTATGTGTTAAATCGGAATTGAATCTGTTCAGAGTCTGCCATAATAATAATGTTGAAGATGTTCAGAGAGAATGCAGGAATTTTTACATTGTATTTCAAAATAAGGCTGCACTAGATGTTCAGAGACAATGCAGGAACTTATTATACATTGCGTCTCAAATTCAGGTTGAACTATTTAGTAAGAATGAAATGACCACTGATAACTACCTAGTTTATTACTGTTTTTAAATATCATTTAAAGAGTCTACCGGCTACTCTATCATATAGGCCAATTGTAAAGGACTTGTGAATGTATTCCGTTTTAAGCATTATACAATATTTCTTTGTCCATATAGATTTATACCTACCAGAATTCTTACCCTAACTTCGTTTACGTTGGTTCTATAATCTTTTTATTATGGAGGTATATAGAGATTTAAAAAAAATCTTAATATTATCTTTAATTACATATATAATCAAACTTGCAATAACCTGAGCCTTTACCTGCGTAAATGCATATGTCACCCGTCTATGATGAGGCTTTCTGTAAGTGAAATAATTTTTAAAATCAGTCCAGTTTCCGAAACCAATTCAATGTAAACAAACCGCATAAAAATCGACTCTTTCCCTTTTTTAATATTATTATAGATATATGAATACAGGCTATGAACTATCTTTAAAAATATCAATCTATGAAAAAGTTTTAATACGAATCATCCAAAGTTTGTTAAAATATCCAAAACATTAACTTTCATTTTTACAATATTTAATGTTTTGTTTTCAGTTTTGAATGAATACCAAACCGCTTTTGCCAAGAAACTACTTACTATAAATGGACATGTCAGTCCTATATTCTGTCAGTAACTAAGTAATTTGTTTGATGCTATTTGTTTGTTACATTAGAATAGTTGTAACATTCGCTCAAAATAAAAATAAAACATTATTCAAATAAATTAATTGAAACCTATTTGATTCCTTCTAGCAACAACAATTATTTAAAACTGCGAATTTTAAAAACTATATCGAATATTGAGTGTTAAAATTTTATTAAGCTCTTAGAACATAAGCTCTCTGATGGCGTTTTTCATCGAATTTCAATTAGTATAATGTTTATTATGTTTTAAATATTGCAGTGCTAATTGGTTTTCTGTTGATGTCATTTTGGAGTGAACCCCTACAAATGTCTAGGGTTTGGTTTTATGCTGGTGCTTCCATAGTTATATGCACTGGTCTATGTTATATTGATTACCTTATGCCTTGCCATACTTTACCAAGTATACGTAAGTAAATTACAATTGTTAGAATTATAATTTTATTTTTATAGTACGTTTTATTATAATCAATCAATCAACAGCCCTTTTACGTCCCCACTGCAAGGGCTCACGCCTTCCTTATGGATGGTTAAGGAGGATGGGCCAAGAACCTCCACGCTGGCCCAATGCTGATTGGAGGGTATTAACGACTGCAAATGCAGCCGGGACCAACGGCTTAACGTGCCTTCCGAAGCACGGAGTAGCTCGAGATAATAATTTTTTGGTGACCCATCCCGTGACCGACCCTAGCGAAAGTTGCTTAACGACAACGATCGCGGGCCGCAGCGCTTATCCACTACGCCACCGAACTACTACTTATTACAATATCTAGGTAATATGCTAGAAATGCAACCCCTCTAAATTGTTAGGGTCGGTGTACATTTGACGGAAGATGACTCAAATTTGCACCGATGTGTCAAAACTAACAAATGTTGAATACTAGCTATTACTAGCTGATTTTCATCTTCACCCGCATAAAATGTAAAGTTTGTCATTCTACTTAATAATCTTTAAAATATTAACATAGATTACATTCAAGCTTGCATACTTAACGAATTGTTTTGTCATATATTAATGCACACTTTCGTGAGATGCTTGATGGATAATCTTACAGATTTACACCGACCCTCAAGTAATTCTTATAAGGTAACGAAAATGGAGCAGATGTAGATAGAAACAGATAATCATAAATTATGATTAATTTACTCTTCCATTGGTTATTTGTTTTCATTTAGTTTTGCAATACAATTAATATTTATATTATCCGAGTCCCTAAATTAAATGATTATTTACCCTAAAACTAATATGGGCGCAACCTTATACTCTTTATTTTATGACATATGGGGTGCTTGTATGAGGTTTAATTAATTGAAAAATAAAACTTAACTTTCAGTGGTTCTTTATATAACAGTACTCAATTCAATACTGGTCGCTCTCATATTGCAAGTCCTGTTAATGACACCGATAACAGAAAAACTATGCAAGACAATGGTAATGCAAAATGTGATGTCTTCTAGCTACTTTAGGACGATATATTGCCTGCCTGTTTTAATGGTATGTATGAGATTTAACTATTCTTAATATAAAACTGGCTCCGAAATTGAGACCCGTCAGTTACTTTCCACTGTAATTGGACAGTGAAGAAATAACCATGACTTCTTACCCATGACAGTTATGTGTCAGCACTGATGCCATTCATTGACTTCATGTAAACGTTGCCTTAGATTCACCATTTTTTGTAAATATAGTTAAATAAAGAAACAATAATTTTATTTGTTTAGATAATTTCACTAAATCCCCTTATCTTTAGGTGCATAATATCTGTGTTGGCAACATGTGATAATCAATTTCTTTTTATCTTTTTCATTATCTGACTTTATTAAAAGATATTTTTTTTATATGTTAACCGACTATTTTACCGATTTATTTCTTATACTAATCATGCCCTGGTATACAAAGGATAATGCTGTTTAATCAAGTATTGAACAAAATAAAGAACTTTAAAAAAAGGCAGTCGTTCTATAAGCCCCCAAAAACTTCGGAAAAGAAGCCAGCACAGCTGAATCTGTAGTTGTTATTACTCAACGATCCACTCTGCATCCGCGTAATTTTAATTGGTCCATTATTCAATAAGTAAGGACTCTGCCTCAACAGTATTGGGATTTCGTGATCATAATTAACAAAAATTAAATTACTACAGATATGCAGAAACTACAATACGATCAACGAAGGTTTTTTATCCCAGGAAGAAGATGATAGTTTACCGACACCTGGAAATGGAAACGTAGAAGAAATGGAAGAAGTTCACACCAAATACTGCGAAAAAGAAGAGCTAGCTGAAGCTGTTGATAAAACCTTGTTTTTCATCTACACTTTAGTGTTTGCTGTGCTTCTGGGTTTGCACTATTAAAAAACTTAAAGACATTTAGTTGACAAAGAAACGAGTATCGAATATAAATGAGGAAATTTTATTCTATATTATAATAATAATAATCTTTATTGACTATAAAATCGATACAACGAATTTTTACACCAGTGATTCTTAAAATATTTTTTCATTACATCTATTTATCATCTGTTGCTGAACTTGGTTGATACCTGTATTTCAGCATACAGCGCCACTGTCCTCAGAAAATATGTAATAAGATAAAAAAACAATAATAACAAGCCACACTAAATAGATCTGAACAATAAGAATTTATTATATAAAAACTTCATGTGTCTGTGATTATCAGTGGTCGGAATTAGGTAGAGTTATTCATGTACTTACACTGATTTCATACAGCGAAAGAATAAAGTGGATATGCCTCAAATACCGAGATTAATTTTAAAGAGCAGAAAAAATCCCGTGATTTTTTAAATAAAAAGTTATTTACTTTTACACAATTTAAACTACTGCTCGCACGACGTTGCCAAACTAACATCAATGTCATCGGATGTCCAAAGTTGCAAAATACCAATACGCGCGATGTTGCCACGAAGGTCCACATTAATATCAACATTTCGATGCAAGTACATAAATAACTCTACCTAATTCCGACCTCTGGTGATTATACATTGATAATATTCCCTTAAATAAAGTTTAATGCACACTTATTAAAATTCATTCAACTTATTTAATTAATAATTGCTGTGACTCAGTTTTAAATTATTGCTTCATTATTATTTTTTTTATGGAAGTGAAACTTATTATATGTTTCCCAATGAAAAATACTTAAAAATCCACTCTGTCCCTGGCACTTTGAGATAGGATTAAGATTTTTCATTGGGAAGAAATTAATTTTTAGTAATAAGGTCGCACATTGTGCATTTATATTTATTGTATCCATATGTTTGTTTTTGTCCATTGGTATACAATAAATAATTTTTCATTCATTCATTCAGTATAGCATTGTGAATCCAATTTTGATAAAATATAATAATTATTATATGTTTATATAGTTACATTTTTTACTTATTTTTAAATCTATAACAACCCCGTGTTAAAATTTCAGAAATGAATAGAATGTTAAAAATAAATAATGTCATATTATAACATCAATACATATATATTTTATGTATAACATCAAAATCACAGTAGTTACTTAATAGAAACTTGCCATTCTTGTTTATTTTCAATTGCAACATCTACACTGACCTAAACAATTACAAGGTCCAAATAAAGTGTTGAGTTATACTTTTCTCTCGTCCTAAAGAAGTAAAACTTATACAATATCGTCCATTATTTCCGATTAATTTGATGAACTCACTTTGCTTGTACTAATTTCCCTGGAGAGTTCGAATACTACTGCCTTTTATGCCCGTTTCCTATTGATTTTATGTGTTAAACCTCTTATGAATGGTAACCTAGTTTCTCTTATTAAGAACTAAATAAGACAATGTTGAAAGAGGTAAGAAAAAAAATTGAACCTTCAAAAGTGCTTGCAAAAACTTATATGATTTAAGCCATTCTTTTCAATGTACAAAGTATGACAAGTTGTAAGGAATAAAAAAAAACTTGTCATACTTTGTATAATATTATACTGGAAAATAATATTATCAGTGCACAAATGTTTTCCTATGGTTCATTATTGATGAAAATATATTTATTCACAACACCGTGTTTACAGGAAAATTTACAGTAAGTGACACAATATTCTTTGCACTACAATTGAATCACACTACTAGGGCTCGATATTATTTATGAAACCAATATAAAAGGAATCTTATTAATTTTATTCCCTGTTCTCACTTGTCTCGATCTAATGTTGAATATGTAAGAAAATACTCAGTGCATTAGTGCGAAAAGATCAAAAGAAGTTTACAAAACCTTCTAAGCTTAGAAACTTCACAATGGGTTAGCTTATACGACTGCAAAAACGGGCTGTCGCACAGGGAACAGGAGCTTTGTTATGAAATTACACAGGCGGAATTAGATTAATGAATTAAAGAAGTGTTGATTTAAATTAAAAAAAATTATTAGTTTTGTCACGTTTCGTTAAAATAATTCGATTGACTGTTGATTCAACGTGAAAGTGATTCGCAATTTAAGTTTATTAATTGGATCACCAAATGATGACTAGGTTAAAAAAGAAAAGAAATTCTATTTATTCCGTCGGTCAGATAATAGAATTAGATACGCATTTTTTTGCTTCAATTTGACGAGAAATGACAAAGACAAAAGGCATTAAAGTTAAGGGCTTACTACGTCACAGTTTCATAGAAAGTGTACAAAAGCGTGACGTCGTGCGAAATTTCAACTCAATGTATCATAATTTATTGATCACAAAAAAATGAAAAAAATACGTAGGTATATAACATTATTAAATAATCTACTTGACGGACAAGCAATCGAAAATTAGTCGTCATCCCTATTGCTACAATAATAATTTACATACTCTATAGAGTATGTAAATTATCTGTCAATTTTACAATTTAATGTAGGCGAACGCTTAATAAATATGCACATAATAAAATTAAGACAATAAAATATATTTTTACTAACACATAAAATTGGAATGAATAAAAATGTGTATAAACTTTCAATATCATTTATTTAGCTGTCAAGTTCGTTTATTCCAAAGCAAATCTACGGCCTTTTTATGATTCCGTACCCAAAGGGTAAATTGGGAACATTAATACTAAGACTTCGCTGTCTATCTGTGGCCAGGATGAATCTCATTAACCATGAAATTTAGACAATTTAAATTTTCATAGATGATGTATTTCTATTATCATATCCACACCAAATACTAAAAATCAGAATAAAATTAATATTTAAGAGGCCAGACCCATACAATGAACGTTATTTTTTGCATAAAATGAACGTACGTAAGGGGCTGGCCACGAGTTTAGGCTAAGCGAATTGCGGCGCGTCATGCAGTGCGGCGGCGGCGAGCGGCGCGTTGACCATGCCACGTACACTTAGTAGCGTCTAGCGGCGGCAGCCCGTCGGATGTATTTAGAAATGGCTTTGTCTAAAGTGGCACTTCTTTGTCTCGAAAGTAGTTCATATTTAGGGCAAGATATTATTAATTTAAGAAAAGGAGTGCACCGTGTGAATAAAGCGAGATATAAATATGGGGAATTCCGTAATTTAAACGCAGAGTACAGGAAATACCCCCAAAAATTTTACGAGTACACAAGAATGACTGTAGAAACCTTTGATTACATTCTTCAACACATTCAAGTCCATCTGGTACATCACATTCAATCCAAAAGGGTGGTATCCAATCCCGAAAAGTTGTTTCTAACATTAAGGTAAGGTGCAAATAAAAATACATAAATAATTGAGATATTTTAACAGATCATTTATTTAAAAAAGGTAAATAAAATTTACGAATTTGTTCATAGGTATTTATAAAGTTATCAGTCAAGTTAGTGTTAAGTACCTACCTATATTTATTTATTTAGAATAATCACAGCTTTTACATTACCTTATTAATTATTTACTTTGAAAAAATCTTTACCTATTTATTTATTTAAAACAATCAGTCTTTACATTCACTTTATTAATTATTTATTTTCAAAAATCTTTACCTATATATTTATTTAGAATAATCACAGCTTTTACATTTACCTTATTGATTATTTACTTTAAAAATCTCTACCTATTTATTTATTTGGAATAATCAGCCCTTATAATATTGTCGCCGGTCACAGATTATTATTATCATTGTAATTGTAAGAATCAAGAGGTGGTGGCGGCGGTTGCGTGTAGTAACCACGTGATGCAAAACCAGGTTCGTCATACAGATTTCTAACCATTTCAACCATAAGAATTTGGTTTATTTTATTTCGCAGCCTCATTTTCTGTATGGATGTTAATTTCTGCATTTCAGGTAGAATACTCAAAGGTAGAAATAATCATCACTTTTTTCTATTTCTGGGGTATTCTGAGACGAAGTATTGTTTTGTCTACCTCTTGTTCTAACAATTTTAGTTTTTTTTTTTTTCGATTTCTAAATATTCTTGCCCAACGTCAAGTATTCTTGATCTTTTTCGATTTTCGGCAACATTTGGTGGGTTTGATTGTGAACTACACGGTTGGGGAGAGACCTCGCTTGATACCGAAGGCGCTGATGGTGACTGCAGTGTAGGTTGTATTTCCGATGGAGACAGGGCCTCGGTAACAGAAGACTGGTCTTCAATATCAATCAAGTTAGACTCACTGTCTGCTGGCAAATATTCTTCTTTTAAAAATGACATCATATTAAAATATTTCCACTGCGACGAAGTGTCATCTTCAGTACCGGGGTCCCCTGAGCGTGAAGTTGGTATCTTTTTCAATTCCTTTCGAAAGGCATCTTTAAGGTTATTCCATTTCTTCTTCAATTGTTCAACTAAAAAAAAATACCTACATTATTACTTAATCGTAACCTTATTCATTTTGTTTCAGATTTCTAGCACATGGGGTATCTTTCAAGTCATTGTCGCATTCATATCGCCTTGGTAGAAGTACAGTTGCCAAAACCATCTACCGAACTCTGACAGCCATATGGAAAGCCTTAAATCAGATTTATATGCCGCAACCAACGCAAGAGGATTTAAAAAAATATCACAAGGATATTTCTCAAAATGGCAATTCCCTAACTGCATAGGCTCGATAGATGGAAAACATTTTCGTATAATGAAGCCCCCGGACAGTGGCAGCGAATATTATAACTATAAAAAGTATTTTTCCTTAGTACTTCAAGCAATGTCGGACGCAGACTATAAATTTATTGCTATCGAGATTGGTAGAAAGGGACGTCAAAGCGATGGTGGTACTTTTCATTTTTCCATTTTGAACAAGTTATTATCTTGTAATCGATTTAATGTACCCCCACCACAGAATTTGCCTGGCTCGAATATAAAATTACCACTGGTTTTGGTAGGAGACGAGGCTTATCCACTAAAGACATATTTAATGCGCTAGGAAATTTAAACAGG